AATATTTGGGCACTGAACCAAAGCGTATGAATCAGAGTGAAGCATTCTTGGCTGAACACACTGCGTGAAGTGTAGACACTTGTACAGAACACTCTCTGTGTAGAACCCAATAAGCTTTGGGGCAGTATATCTACTTAGCAAGTAGTTTTTTCCTCTTGTCCTTTCATGTTTGTGTGAATCTTTCTCTTATTTTTTGGGCCAGGAAGGCAGCAAGGGACCAGGACTGAGTTTCCTATTATTTTTTTTTTAACCTCCTCTTTTGCTCGCAGCAAAACAAGCACTCTCCTAAGGCTGCTTTAAAAAAAAGTGTTCTCAAGCAGAAAACTAATTTTCTTTCCTCTTACTTCTCCTTTCCCTGTGCTTTTGTGAGAGGCCGCTTGCAACAAGGCTTATATTCATTAGTAGTTTGTGTAACTGCCTTACCCACCCCTAGGTTAGATGTGAAAAGGTGTGACTGCAGCCCGTGAAGGGTCTGTCCCGTGTACCCTGAGCCACCAAGGGGCAGAGTGACCCTGGGCTGAGCTGCAGTGGTACATCCTCGTGGTGCTGGCCACAGGCTGTCAGTTCATGGCTTGCACTGGTGGCTTGTCTGCAAATACCTTCAGCTTCTGTACAGAAGGCCAGGATTCCAGGCTGCCATCCGCTGGGTGCACAAGTGTGGGAGGATGTGGGCCAAGGACAGCCTGTCTCCTGTCTTTCCAGGCAGTTCTCATTTTCTTCTGAAGCCACACAGCTGGAGCAGTGGTGTGGCCTCAAACCAACGTGGACATGCACAGAAGTCTCTGCAACTGCTTGGGTCACCTAAAGCATGAGACATGCCCTAACCCTAAATAAGGGTTGCTGTGACCAGTGGCAAGGCACAGGCACCCACTAAGCGGGAGCGGGACAGGCGGGACGCTTTGCTTCCTGGCCTTGACTGCAACAGCAGTGATTTGCCTCTTGATGTGCTGCTTGTCACAGTGAATATTTTTGAAGCTCTGCTGCTTTTTTTAAGCCTACTTTATCTCATCTTTAAGAAAAATCAAATATGCAAATTATGAACTCAATTAGCATTTTTGTAGTTTTCTTTGGAGAGACAGTGATAAATGGTGTTGTGTTTTCAAAAATCATTCATGTCCCTTGTTAAATGTTGCACAGGAGGCTGTAAAATATACAGGGGAAGGAAACAAAACTGTTTTTTTCAGCGCAAGAGATTTTTAATGTGTGTGATCATGCTTGTGCATATGATAGCTGTAGAGTTGTTAGGTTGGAAGAGTCCTATAGAGACTCCCCAGCAAAGGCAGAGCCAGCTGAGATGATGGGGATCACTGGGATGTGCTGTGCATGTCCCTGCTAAAGAGGGGACAGGGGATGGCGGGGCTGCCAGGCTCCTTGCATGCGGTTCCTGTAGGCACAGAGCCACTGAATGCAGTCACAAACACTTGAGCTCAAAGGTTTTCTCCTTGCCCATGTTAATTCACTACAGAGGACACTAAAGTGGTACTTGGTTTAAGGGAGAGACTGCACATGTGGTTCATAAAGGGGGCCCGGTGGCTTTCTGTGAGCAGCACTATGTCCATGCTAGTGGCTTACCAGTCGGTGCATCAGCTGTTTTCTTTATGCTTTATTTGTAAATGCCATTTCACAAGAGCAGTAGGGCACTCCAGGCTGTGTGTTTTGAGGAGTTATCACTCCTCAAGCCCTGTAACGCCACCTGAGGCGTGCAGTAATGGCCCAGGAATGCAATGACTGTCATATCTTATTGCTTACAGCTTCCATATGAGACACGCTTCAAAGAGAAATCTCCATGTTCATAATGGGCTATCAGATTCTTTACCCTCTTCATCCTTGCTACGGTCGTCTTACATAAAATTAAGTGCAGTGGCTGTGGGAGAGAAACAAGAGGCAGAAGGTCAACTGAGACAGAATAATAATGGGGTTTATGTTTGGTTTTTTTTTTAATGGTAGCTTTCAACCCAGCATATGGAAAGTGAGATGAAGCCTCCAAATTCCGGGATGTGGCCCACTGAAGATTTCAGGTCATGGACATTACCAGGGCTAGAGGGACATAGTAATGGGTCAGATACACACAAGGGCCTTTGCCAGTGCTGTGGTGTGGGTAAGGGATGTGCTAGTTGGAAAAAAGAATTTTTACTGCCTCTGGCAAAAGCTCTCATACAGCCATGCTACACAAAAAAAAGAAGCTGCTTCTGCTATTAACGTTTTTTAATCTAGAAACCTGGTGTCAGCTATGCAGAAATCCCCTCCTGCCTTTTTTAATGGTGTAATACACTTTTTTTTTAATAGTGGTGTCTAAAGCTTGTACTACAAGGCTTAGCTGGGCTTTTTGGGAAACTGCTGGTCTGTAAGGTTGAGAGCCAGGTATCATAAGGGTGCACAATTAAAGGGAATTGCAGTTTTTCTCATGAATGAAAAATCCAATGGCTTTTCCCTAAAATAGTAGTACTTCTTGGGGCGGAGGCAGGGGGTGGAATAAGTTAAAAAAATTATTATTTTTTTTAAAACCAATCTGCTGACTAAATTTAAATGACTTTTAAATCCCAGCCCACCTGAGCGCTCAGTGTCTCTTTTGCATATACCAACAGAGTAATACTGATGCCTCTGTCTTCCTCTATAACTAATCCTCTCTGAAGGCTTGGCCATACGTGACATTTATGCAGATACGAGCAGTTGTTAATGTTGATGGATACAGCTCAACATGGGCAGTAATTTTCCCTTGCTGTGGTGGTGCAGGTGTTCCTGGAGAGAGCTGACACAGGCAGGTGTCACTGAAATCGAGGATCTGGCACAGAGCTGGAAATTAAGGAAAGGTGTCAGCTTCATAAGTCCTCAACGGGGTTTCTCGGACCTGTGGCTGAGTATAATTGATTTTTTTCAGTTCACTGGCCAAACTGGAGGAAGGGGGAAAAAAAATAATAAAAAAATCAGTTTTGGTGTTTCAAGGCATTTTTTTAAATGAATGATTAGTGTAAATATAAATAACTCTTGGTGAAAATACTTCAGAAGATTTATGGGTAACTTTGGACAACCTGAATATACCTTTGATAGCAAATAAGATGTTTCACTGAAAAAGGAAAAGAAAAAAAACCAACCCAAAACCCCCCTCAGCTCTGTTTGTGACCTGTGATCTTTACACTGGCAGTCCCACTGGAGGCTTTGCTTTCCCTCCTTTGGGAGAAAGGTGGGTTTCCAGATGTCTTCACCCACCTCCTTCCCTGGATTTTTCCCCTCCTCCCCAGCCAGGCTCCCAGGGAAGAAGAGACAGCGTTGCCTCTGCAGGAATGTGGGAAATAGCATAAGTTACACTGGAAAACTGGGAAGATTTGGCGTGTGCAATTAAATCTTGTTTTCATCCACAGCCTTGTATATTATTAACTGGCATGAATTTTGCCTGTGTGAGTAACACGCGTCTCTCTGCCAGTCCCTCCCTCTGTCTCTGTTCGTCCCCCCACCCCTCACAAGTGATGCTTCAGCTCTGTTCTGCCAGTCATCTCAGGCATCTTTCTGCCTTGATATTTCTGCCCAACTTTTGGGCCATGCTGTATAATTCAGAGTCCTCCGTGGCCTTGCTTCTTAGCTGGGTTTCTTTGCTCCTTGATCTCCAGGAGAGCCTCTTCTGTGGCTTTGTGTGTGGGCTCCCTGGGGAACATCTCTTTGCATGAAGATTGAAATCACTTGGTGAACCTAACCAAAGTGCAAAACCCCTGAGCTGGTCTGCTCCCTCCCACCTCGCTTTGCCATGCTGCTGGCCTTACCTTCTACTCCCTGTGCTCCTTCCCTCCTTTCTCCGGTGTAGCGTTGAGAGATGAACGTTGCTGTGGAAAAACCACCGACAGCAGTGCCAAGTGGTGCAGAGGCAATCGAGCATTGCTTTTCCAGGTCAGATGGGAGATTTGACATTTGTGTGGCCAGCGGCTGGAGTCAGGAAATCTCATTAAAAGACAGATTTATCAAGTTCTGTGGATTTAGAAGAAGGTTTTTTTGTTGTTTTAACTTGGTGTTACTGCTCTCAGTGGAAATCTGTGTGGTTGAATATATCGGAGGGTGTTGTGCATGTTGGAAGGACTGGCAGCCAGCTCCCTTGCTGTACAGGGATCAGGACGAAGGAGATCATAGAATCATTAAGGTTGGAAAAGACCTCCAAGATCATCGAGTCCAACCGTCAACCCAACACCCCCATGCCCACTAAACCATGTCCCTAAGCGCCTCATCTACCCGTCTTTTAAATACTTCCAGGGATGGTGACTCAACCCCTTCCCTGGGCAGCCTGTTCCAATGTTTAACCACTCTTTCAGTAAAGACATTTTTCCTCATGTCCAATGATGATGATGTCCAATGAGATGCCATGTGGTAGCTCCTGGCCCTTTGCGCTGCCCCAGGGGGCAGCTCTGCCCATGGTGGACAGAATCGGTGCATGGCTCAGGTTGGGCTTAGCTGAAGGTGCAAAGCAGCTGAGCCCTCAGGCACTCGATGCCCTGTGCTTGGCTCCTGGCTCTGCCCAGGGCTCTTCTGTTGTGCCGCAGCAATAATCCATTGCTGCAGCTGGACAGGCACAGCTGGTCCTGCCGTGGCTCTGTTTGCTCTCTGCCACAGAGCCCTGCTGAAGTAGTAAGCTGTTTTCTGTATGCCACAGCACTTCGACCTTATTAATCACTCTGGGCTTAACTAATTATCTGCTGCAACTGTTTGTATAAGAAGGTGCGGGGGGGGAACCTCCACGCCTTGCAATTTTGGTTGTACCTTTTTCCCCCTTTTCTCTCTGTGGTGTCTTGTGCATAAATTTTGAAGTCTTAACATTTATAACCTGCCCCAGCTGTAGTTCTCAAAGCCGCGTGTTCTTGGTATTCTGCCTGCACCCGGTGCTGCAGAAAGAGAGCAGCTCACTTAGCTGAGGGCACCGATTTCCTCCCTCTCCCTTCAATCGCCTTGCTTACCTGTGAAGTGTCAGGGCTCTGACTCTTTCTCTCTTTCTCCCTCTCCCTTTCTCT